TTTACTAATTCATTCAAACAACGTTGTCTATTTTAATTAACTATTTTAATTAATTTTAATGAGTAAAATCTAAAATATTACGTAGTACATCACGTTATTGTCATATTGATGACATCACATAATAACGTGTTATATCACATCATCAAAATTTTAAAATTTAGATTTTTATTGATAATGATTATATTTACAACGGTCATATCATTAAAATTTTAAAATTTAAATTTTTCAATGATTATATCGATAACTTGCCACAAATATTTAACGACCCAAAATATCTAACCTAAACAAGAAAACACCAATAGAAAAGGGGGATAAATTGGACAAAAAACAACAAGCATAATATACAAACATGCTTAACAGAAAAAAAAAAAATGAAGAAGCATAGAATAAAAATTAATGGCTGATTTTAGTCCATTTTTCCTCGGTTGTCTTCTCTCCACCCAACCTGAATAGAGTGAACAAAGCGAGGCAAAGAGAGAGAGATGGGTGGTGTTTCAATCGCTTTTTTGGTTGGGATTTCATGGGTTTTTTTGGGGGTTTTCAGTGGGAATCGAGAGAGAGAGAGAGAGAGAGATGGGATATTTATATAGGATTTCTATGATATAGCCTTGTGTGAAGTCTCTATGGGGTTGATGAAGACAATGAGCAAAAGAGAGAGAGAGAGTAGAGATCATACTTTTAGTGGATGATAAAGTCGCAGTGTGGTTGATGAAGACCATGAGCGAAGACAACCAAGGAAATTGGGATGCTGTAGAGTGAAAAATTGGCGCAAAAACCAAATACCAAGATTCCTTTGCCTTGCCAAAAACAGTTAGGAAAATGGAATTATGAAAAATAGCTGGTGAGATAGTTAGACTGTTGGAGACAATTTAGGAAGGGACTCTTGAAAATAACTAACGAGGGACTTTTAAAGAGTCTCCGAGAGTTATTCTAATGCTCCGTTTGGTAGGGAGAATAAAAAGTAGGAAGGATGAAAAATAGGAAGAATACAATTTATTTCCTTTGTGTTTGGTTGGATGGATGAAAAATAAAAATGACAATTTTTTTGTTATTTTTGTGCTGGCTAAGATTACGAGTGATGAATCATTACGGGTTTGCGTCGACTATCATTCAAATTTAACTTAATTCATTTAACTAATTGTGCCGTGTCGAGTTACGAGTTGACCTGTTTATTTTCGTATCGAGTTCAAGTCGTATCATTGTGTTGAGTCAAAAATTTTCACCCTTAGTTAAGATGGTAAAAATAATTTTTTTTTTGATTTAAAATTTTGATTTTAAATTTTTAATTTTTTAATATATATATATATATATATATATATATATATATATATATATTTTATCATTATATTTTTATATGAAATTAATATATATAGACAAATAAGATATATCTTAACACAAATAATTAATTTTTCATTTTCCTTCTGATTTTGGAGGGGTCGATTTTGGTGAGTTAAAAAAAAAGTTAATTCATCTACTTTTTCATTTTCTTACTTTTCTTACTTACCAAACATGATGTTTTATTTATCCTTTTAATTTTTCATCCTCTCACTTTTCCATCGTACCAAACGAAGCATAAATATGGGTTGTCACATGTATTGACACAATTTATTCACCAAATGAGAAAAATTAGGACAATTGATAGTCGCATGCACCACATAATTTTTTTTTATTGTAAATGGGATATACAACAAAAATGTGTTAAAAAGCATCTATGTTCATGAACATAATATCTATCGCCATTAAAAAGAGTTATTGGGGTTGGACCCTAAGCATCAGAATAAATAATGCCTATGGGACTTGGCACTGGAGTAGGAAAAGGAAGATCAAAACTTTTTCCTTTTTGGCAGACTTCAAAGATGATGACTGTGGGGGCAACTTTATTTGCAATTAGAGAAATTTGTAGTTGATAGAGACCACTAATTCTCAGGCCGCGAAATAAAACCTTCCCCATTTTGATTTTCTTAAAGCAACAATGAGTTGTATGAAATTCAAACCCACAATTATTATCAGAGACAGTTTTGAACAGAAAACAGATTGGTTTTAGTACTTGTCTCCGACAATATGAAAACCAATCTCTTTTTCTGTTCAGAGGATAAACCTTCAAGAATGTAGAGAATGCGATGATCATCATAAATGGGTTGCTCGGTAATGGCAAGCTGATGAGAAATCTTCTTTGCCCGATGGAAATATTTACGGATGGTGTCGGATCCTTTCTTGAAAGACTGCAATGCCATGCGTTGTTGAAGAATGCGAGCTCGAAAGTCCACACATCGTGGGATTTAGTTAGCCAAATGAATTGGGTGTGAACATCATCAGTTATAGAGACCACTGTGATACTTTGAATTGAATGCAAAAGATGAGATCTGATAGGTACAAAGGATATCAACAGAGACCCTTACTCCTTTCTTTTTGATTTGTAGATGGTTTTGATCAGGTTCAGTTTGTTTGAATTGTTTAGTGGCCTGTGTATTGGTATTCCAAGCTTGGGCCACAATGGCAAGAAAATCATCTGTGTCTGCAAGATGGTTGAAGAACTTAAAAGGAGAATTCCTCTTTCTACAAATTGCTCCATTTTTTACAAGTAATTGTTTCGAATTGTATTTTTACCTTATGCTAATCTCAATTTGCACTCTGAAATATACTTTCATTCTCAATTTGTACCCTTAAACATAAAAAAAAAATTCAATTTACATCCTCAATAATATAAATCGATTAATTTTTTATCATAAAATGAAGCACGTGAATTGCAAGTATTTTGAGTATGAGCTTATGTATAAATTTACTGGCTATTGACGCCTTATGTAAGTTGCACATGATTTAGTTTTCATATACTTAATTGAGGAGACCATATTTTCGATACACAAAACGGTGTCAAATTGATCGCAAACAAAAATTTGAAGTGATAGATATACCTCATCCTTATGTCTAAAGCACTTACAATTCACATGATTCAAATTTATGATGGAACACTGAATAGGAGTCTGGATCATGTCCACGTTGCTATCAATTCATAACATTGACAATACAAATTGAGATTTTTAATGTTTCAAGGTAGAAATAAATTAAGAATCAAAACATCTTTCGGAGTGCAAAGTGAGATTCGCCCTTTTACTTGTCATCAAATAACATTTTTAGTACATACAAATTTTTTTAATTTTATTATTTTTTATAATCAATGATTGCAAATTACTCGAATCAAAATTAACCATTTTTAATTAACTTCAGGTTTCATAGTTTATCAGTTCATTGAAATATGAAATTCACACCAAAAAAAATGTGACTTTTTATTTTAAATTTCTTGATAAGGTATTACCTGAATTATTTTAGAATTAATTTTTCTGTATTAGCACCAACAAGACATTATATTAAAATAATACAATCCAAAATGATACGACTCTACTTAATCCACATCCCTACAATCCCAAATAAATCAATCCCATGCAGCAAAAAGATTGTCTTTTTTCTTTGGGTGTTTTGGGGTCCTGGAACCAAAAATAAAACAACGTAAATTTGGTTTTTTTTTTTTTTTAAATTAAAAACTAAAATATTGAAGAGGGATTAAAACAAAACAAAAATGGTAACAAAAACAATGGACAGAATCATCAAACCTATCTTTCCATATTATTTCACGACTAAGATTATCGTAAAACAATGAAGTGATGAAGTTATAGATAAATTACATTGAAAGTGAACGAGTATAAACTCTCCTGTTAAACAAACACAATCCTTTGCTCTCTCGGCACATATCAATCTCTTCTTATTCTGCTGATTCATATAACACAGCAACACACGACATTCTTCATATCCCTTCTTTGTAGGTTCTTCAATCTTCATGCCTCCTGAGTCTCCTAAAAAGAGTGACAATGTGACATAACCATTTTCATCCACAGAGCGTATTGAGTATACTCTTCTGGCTCATGTGGGTACCCAAGCCCAAGAATGACTACTTGGGCTGTTTCCTCTGTACCAGGCAAGTCTTATTTTGGGTTTTGGATTCACAACGTATGTAGAGGTTCTCTAGAGTCACTGACGCGATTTTATAGCTCTATTCAAAAAAGAGTAATATTAGATAGATTTAAAAATTAAATTTAATAATTCAAATTATTGAATAGGTAGTGAGTCTCAATAAATATTGGGACCTACAATAAAATCAATAATTGTAATTATTAAGTCTAATTTTTAAATCTATGTAGCATTTCTCTTCAAAAAAATAAAAATGAAAGACTATGATACCCTGCCTTTGATACTTTACTAAAATTTATAATTTTTTAAAATAAAATTATAATTTTTTAAAGTTTAATTTATAATTTGTAAAGGACTTGATTGACTCTAAAATGTTGTAATTGATCGTAAAATTACAACTTTTAAAAGTTAACTTACAATTTTTAAATATCAAATTACAATTCGTAAAGTAAAAGTTACTACCGTCTGAGAAATTCATAATCGATCATGAATTTTCTTTAAGTAATTATTATTTTATATTCAAAAATTGTAACTTTATCATTAAAAATAGTACTTTCTGAAATGGTACCAATTTTTTTTTATACCATAAAATTACCAAAAATAAAAAGGTGAGATTATGACAAGTTGACAACCACCTCAGGAGGGGTACTATTGGTCTCTATTGAGATAAACATGAATGTATCAAGTTATTTTTTAGATTGTAAAAAATTAAGTAAAACTATCAATTAATGTGCCCACCGCATTTATGATAAGATGCCCACCCAGTTAAAACTATACTTACATCCCTTAAACTATGTCTTGCGTTTTACATTGTCACATAAACTATTTTATTTTCTCACATTACACCATAAATTATTTATTAAAGTTTTTTGATAGCCCAATATATGATTGTGGTCCAATTTTTACGCTTAGCAAATAAGGACAAAAATGTGGTCTCACAATGTTAGAAGATGTGTTCAACTTTCTCCTTGATTTGCGTTAAGAGTTTGATAGCAATCAATGATTGAGGCAACATGAAACTTAAACCAAATAAACCAGTAAGATTGAGAGGGGTAGATAGGTAGGAAATATTTAGTGTAATGGTAATATTATATTAATAATTAATAATGTCACGTAATAATTCAATTCATACTCTCCGCCAAATAAACCATAACCACAGCCATGGACGTGGGCAAACTCAATGCAATCACTGCTATCATTCCCAAAGCCAAGCTTGGCCTTGTGTTCATCAACTGTGATTGTAGAAACCCCATGGCTTCACAGATAATTGAATCATATCTCACATAATAACTCTTTTCCCAATCCATCCAGTCCGAAGGTGGCTCGTAGTTCCTTTCTATCATCTTCATTTCGTGGATTCTCTTCCTGAGAATGATTAGGTTCTCATCAACCATCCTGCCTCCATTATTGTGCTCATGGGATTCTCTTCTTGATGCAGAAATTGTTGCAGAAGCAACTCTTTTTGGGTGTTTGAACCCAGTTTTTGGAGGAGGAGAGAGAGTAAGAAATGGAGAACAAAGGGAAGTTGATGTCATTGACATGGAAGTTTGAAAAATTGGAGTGGTATTTGATTGATAAAAAACAGTTTCTTCTTGTTACAGAATGAGCTCTTTTTTTTGGTGTTTGAGCCTGATTTTTGGACTGGTTAGAGGAGGGAGAGGAAGAGGTGAAAAAAAGGTAGTTGATGCTATTGCCTTGAAGTTTGAGGAAATGGATTGTCGTTTGGATGATGAAAATAGTAGGACTATGGTGGATATTTATAGAGAGAGATGTTCAGGGATAGTGGTGGGAGGTGGTGATTATAATATCTTAGGGCAGAAACTTTCTGCCAGAAAGGGGCGGCGGCCAAACCGTGTATTAACTGCAACCTGCTTCTTTTGCGCGTTTGATTGACATATATATTTTTTGGAACCTTCTGAAAGAAAAAACAAAAAGCTTTTACGAGGAAATTTCGTAGAATTTGACACTTGTCACATCAAGAAAATGACTTGTGGCATGATCTCCTTATAGGTGCAGTTTTATCCAAAAAAAAAAAAAAAAAGAAAAGAAAAGAGTAGAGTAATGTTATGCTTATCAAAACTTTTATCAAAAATTATTTTTATTAAATGAGTTGACAGTTTCATATTCTATCAAAAACATTTTGATCAACATTTGGTGGGTCTAAAAGTGATATGAAATTGCCATCTCATTTGATAAAATTATTTTTTGATAAAAATTTTGATATACATAACATTTTTCAAAAAAAAAAAATGGACAAGCGTTATTTTACCCCTTTTTATACCCCAAATGCACTTTAAAACTTTCACATAACCGTCAAGCAATTTGTAGACTAAAATACAGTGTGAAAGTTATGCGAATGTTTTTAAATGTTTTAGAGGTAAAATGCATTTAGACATATCACAAGGGAGAAAAGTGAAGTTTGCTCATTGCTTCTTTTATGAGAAAAATTCATTGTACCCACTATTTTCTTATCCCTGGTTGGTTGGAGGGAAAATAGAGAGGATGAAAGATCGAGAAAAGAAAGTGGGAGAGAAGGAAAATCTTTTCATTGTTTGGTATGGAGTAAAAATGGGACCGAATGGAAAATGAAAGGACAATTCTTTTCCTTGGGCCCACCAAACATTTTTCTCCCATAAATGAGTGGAAAATGTACCGAAAATGGGGCTTTTTTGTGAATTGACTATTTTACTCATCATTCTCTTCCCTTAATAATTAATAATTAAATGTACATAATGAAAAAAATACATATAATTTCTGGTTAAATACACATTAAATAATTAAATGAAGAATTTGTTTATATGTAAATTTTATTTCAATAAATGATATAATAAAATATGAATTTTGGTTGTAAATTTTGAAATATTTAATATTTTATTTTTAATTGGAATATTTTTGGTATAAGTATAATATTTTTGGTATAAGTATAATATTTTAAACTTAAAAAAGGGTCTAAATATCATATATTTTTAAACTTTAGGGGGTTTAAATATTATATACTTATAAAAAAATTCATACATTTTGGTTTATTTTTNTATTTTTGGTATAAGTATAATATTTTAAACTTAAAAAGGGTCTAAATATCATATATTTTTAAACTTTAGGGGGTTTAAATATTATATACTTATAAAAAAATTCATACATTTTGGCTTATTTTCTTTAATCTTATTCATGTAATTAGATGTGAGGGTATACTGGTAAATTTGATATATATATTTTTTCTTTCCATCCAATACCAAACAAAGGAAAATGCACTCCTCCAATTTTTCATCCATTATATCAAACATAATGAGAAAAAATATATTTCTTCCAACTCTCCATCCTTCTAACTTTCTATGCTTCTTTCAATTCTTCCATCTTTCCTATCAAACGAACCATTAAGCTCGAAATATGTCCCAATGATAATATAGTTATTTGAGTTTAAATTTTAATAATTTCTTGGGATCATATCATGAGAAATTTATAATTACTAAATACTCAATTTCTGCGTAGATAATTTATCTTTGATCGAATCAAAAAAAAAATTAATCAAGATACATATAAGTTAATTTAAACATTTATGACTTTTCAATAAAAAAACAAAAATATATGAGATATCAGACGTGTGCAACCTATTGATGTAAAATGGACTGAAATACAAGACGAGCGTGAATTACGGCGTAGTGATCGTCTATAAAATAAATGATTGTACGACATGGACATGGTATTTATTCCGGTTGCCGGTGAGCACTCTCAGGTTACCTTGAGACGTGGCGCCTCCTATGCTTGACTTATTGAGGACGGCGTATTATTTATTCTTGATATCTAGGGTGTGCCGTATGGTGTATTTTTTAAATAGATTGAATATTTGAAATGAAAATTGTAGAGGCTATAACTCTAATGCCGTATGCCGGCCTCGTACAATATTGATTGTTTTAGGTTATGTCTATAGAACATTAAAATTAATTGTAAAATAAAAATTCAAAAGTCAAACTAATGTTATGTTATGTGTCATTGCTCATCAATTTTATTAGTCGGTGTGGGATTGAGTCATCATACTTGTAGTATTTCAGACTCACATTATACAATATTTTATGTTTTATGTTATGCCCGTCCGATTATAAAACATGTTGTATAATGAAAATTCAAAACTCACATTTATATATCACTCTATATTTACGTCACTAGTCGATGTTTGATTGTGACATCATAATTTATCACACTTAAGTCCAAACGTCATCGTTTGGGCCATGTCTCGACCTAGGTGATGTGGGCATTTGCAGCATTAATTTCTCCAACTACGCTAGCTGCCACAGTCCCAAGTCACATCCCTGCCTGACCGGCGGTGCACGGAGGGATAGCTTTGTTGGTATTTTGTCCTTCAGGTAGCTATCATTCATAGATTGGAGGGAAAAGAAGGCAAGCATGCCTGCATTGGCGAAGCCAGTCATGGTCCAGGGGCACAATGATATATTTTTTCATTAGACTTACACCTAAATGATTATGAATGTTGGACCCATTTGAACATAGTACACTCACGTTTGGAAAAGTTTTGGGACATATATTAGGGTCATTTTAATTTTTTTTTACAAAAAAATTATGGGATAATTTAACAAAAATGCTGTTACAATGCCGTCGCAAATACTCTTTGAGGCAACAAATATGCTTTTTGTGATGGAATTTTGTTGTCTCAAAAAATCTTTTTCCTTGTAGCGTTTAGATTAGTAAAAATAAAACCAAAAGTACTATATATCAACAAAATATCATCTTGTCTATTTTTTAATCTTATTTTTTTATAGTTTAACAATACACTACATAAATACAGTAAAATTGCATGTACCAAGTTTCTTGCACGCTTAAGTCTAAAACGTCATTTGGAAATTGTACCCTTGCTGATATAAAATGTGTGTGTGTGTGTGTTGGGGGGGGGGGGGGGGGGGGG